CTTAGATAGTTAGAACGAATGATGGCGGTAGAGGCTGGTCAGTTTTTTCGCGGATCTGTTTGCCTAAATCCTTGAAAAAACGTTGAGCTTTGCTACCGAAGGTGGTGAGAATGGTGCAGGCGATGGGTATGAATAAGAAAGAAGGTTCTAAGGAACTGTACTTTATGGTTTTGAGGTATTCAGCGAGGGTGAGGGCATCGACGTTATGGTTAGATGGTGCATTTGGGTCAATGCAGGTGAAGTCCCAAACCAGGAGCTGACCCCTTTACCAGGAGATCAAGGACATTCCATCAGGACGTTTTCCATCGGTTCTGAAAATTCCGTATGGTTCTAGTCTAGATGGAATGCCTCCTGATTTGAGGGCGCGTAAAATGATGTCATTGTATTTGGTGTGCCGTGAAAAGTGGCCACGACAAAAGCTACAATGGAGGCAGTGCCTACCCTTGCTGTCGACGCTGGTTTCGCAATGTTTGCATTGGTACGGAAGAACAATTTCGCAATTGAGCCGTAGTCCAATAGCAAATCTTAGCTCGTCAGCAGTGAGCAACAAATCGAGGTTGTTGGAGGGTATGGTTTCCAGAAACTCGTAGCCAGATCCTTGGTTCAATTGGTGAAAAACTGTGAGATCGTCGTCGTGAAGGCTCGATTTTAGGTAAGCGACGGAGCCTTCGTTGAGTGGAATATCCCAGTCTCTCTGTGAACATGAGGAGGGTCGTGTTGTCCCAAATGGTCTGGGTTTCGGCTAATAAGGGGTCAGGGAAGTTGGAAAGCTGGCTAATGTGTGAGTCGGATGAAAGACGAGAGGCGATGAAACCACTGATGGAAAGAGTTAGAAGTTAGCGTAAGCCGATACCCCCAAGCTTACATGGAAGTGATGCTTGTAACCATGAATTATGGTTAACGCTGAGATTAAGGATCTCTACGGCGAGAGATTTGACGGAGATTTCAAAAGATTTTAATGAGTTGGGGAATTTGAAAATTGAGGTGGATCGAAGGGCGTATAGAATTTTAGGAATGTAATAAAAGTTTTTGAGGAGAAAAAAAGCTTGATGTGGAGGGAGAAGAGTTGTTTTTGAAATGAAGTAAGCTGAATGATGCGTTAGTGAAGAAGTGATTGATGGATTCCAGGCCACCGACTGGAGAGCCGAGATGACTGAGGGATGAGAGTTCGGTTGTGTGGAAGTTGTGGTTGATGGGATGGAGCAATGAAATGGGCAGATCTCAGTTTTTTGTTCGTTGAGTGAGAGACTCATAGCGTGGGAATGTGTTTTGATGATGGTGAGTGCATTAGCAACCTCGTTAGGGGGACCGCAGATATTCCGTCACTAACATTATTTTTATAACATATCATAAGAAAATGAATCTCACTCAATTATTACAGAATATGTCAAATGCTTACTATCAAGTGAATGTATGGAAATATTTAAAATACCAACCTAATTTGCTAAATACCGACCAAAATTTATTAAAATGTACCTTTATTATTTAATATATTATAACGGAATCACGTGGTCGAGTCCGGCCTCCTATATATCATCCCCCCAAGGATGGAACCACCAAGTTAAATTAAGAAAAAAGAAATGACCATTTCCGGGATTCGAACCCATGACCATGTGATCAGTAAGCGAAGCTCTTGACTACTAGGGCATAGAGGCTTTCCAAAAATAACGATTTTTCAAATATATATTATAAATATATTTGGTAGTGCCTATCCAAATGAAAAATAAACAAAATTCAAATTTGATAGGCATTACTTGGCATTTGAGTTTAGTTAAACACCTTTTTAAATAATAATATAATATGATTTTAAAATATACTAAAACAAAAAAAAATTTTCATGAAATAATAAACGCCAACTTGCGGATTTAATAATATTGAAATTTAAAATGTAATTACTAATTATTATTATTTTTAATTTAATTATATTAAAGGATTTAAACTATTTATTATGAGATAAAAGGAAATAATGTATTTTTTATTGATTATATCTAATTTTTATAAGTTATTCAAATCATAAGAAAATGAATCTCATTCCAATTAATAGAATATATATCAAAAAAATTTACCTAAGCATTTGCAGTTTAGTCAAACCCCTACTATAACCTATTTATTTACAATTGTTAAAAAAAATGTGCGGTGCGAAAAATAAAACTTGTAGTGGTGCGTATGTAAAGAAAAATGGAGAAGGAGAAAAAAATCTCTTCTGACGGGATTCAATGAACCTGCCATCACTGTTTTCTACCAATTTTACTCCTTTTCATTTTCATAATAATTGAAAATGTTACTTATCGAAACTAACAAATTTATTAAGTACCCTCAGGATTATATCATAAATCAATTAATTTCATGATTTTTTTTGTGCTACATCTTACTCAAAATTGTAAACTATAATATCAGGCAATCGTAAACTATCATATTAAAAGCAATGTTAATGTTAAAGCACATTTATCATATTATCCTATACATTTTTCTCCTAATCGAAGATCGCCATAACCCCATTTATTAGTAATATTTCATTTAATTTCGAACCTATGATCTACTACCTTGCACCAACTTAATTTTTTGTTATCAAATAAACGTGGTCAAACCATATGGCCCACAATAAATTTAACCCTTAGATCTATGGGGATTATATCACTATTTCTTTTTAATTTTAACAAATATAACGGAACCTTGGTTCTTCGACCAAGAAGCAACTTTGAAGGATTAATACCTTTTCGGTTACGAGAATTAAGATAATAAAATTGAGACATATAAGCCTCGCCCATTTCTTTTCTAGCCTTTCTCAGCTAATTTTTCACAATTGCCACCATCCTCTCAGCTTGTCCATTTGAGCTGGGATGATATTGTGGGGCAAACATGTGTTTGTCGGCACTAAACGGTTTAAAATCACCGATTAAAGAGGTTGACCCTTTATCGGAAACAATTGTATCCGGTAAACCGAACCTAGTTCATAATTTTTTAATAACAATTTTTGTTGTATAACTGTGCACCTCTTCCTATTCTATCCACTTCAAATATGAATCATCTTAAAAGAATGATTTTTTATTCAAATCAAAAAAATCGACGTGGATATGGCCTATTTGATTTGAGCCAACTATTGCCTACCTCATTACGGATAACGGCATATGAATAATAGGGGATACATTTCTTTGTAATTTTTTCAATATCATTACCCATACCAGACCACCATACATATCCACGAGCCCAAGATTTCATTTTATCCCGATCCTGATGTCCGGCATGTAATAAATTCACAATTTTACTTTCAAAGGAATTATGGCCCTATTTCCCCGCATTAAACAATCATCCACAGACAATTCTCTTTCACTTTTTCTATAAATTTTATAATTATTTTTCCCATAATTTTATTTGACTTAATTTCTAATCCTTTAAAGTATTGAGTTGAGTTTGAGATCCTCCCAATTCGTAGGATCACCTTTCAACATATGTGAAAGAGAACAAACCAATGCTTTCTCATTATCCATGCCTTTATTCTTTATTAGATTGAGATCTTCGCTCGATCCCAACGTAGATAAAATATCCGGCAAACAATTTTCTTTATCTCGCCTATATCTTATTCCACATTAAAACTTCTCACTAATAACAACCACCGTTGTAATGTTGAGACAACATCAATTTTCGATTACTTTTTTTGAATAATGGTTTATGATCGGTTTAAATTACAAACATTTTACCGATAAATATTCACGGCACTTGGTTAAACCAAAAATGACCGCTAACGCTTCTTGCTTAACGGAATATCGTGCTTGCACTTCTGGGAAAATCTCGAAAAAAAATATAATTGGTCTTTCATTTAGTAACTTTTATTATTCAATTTTCAAATCTTTAACATTAATCAAATATTTTTTATAAAATATACAACTATTTAATAAAATATAATTTCATGTCATAATTTAATAACGAATCAAAAACTTACATCATCGAAAAATCATCTATTATCAAAATCATAATATTCATATTATATTTTATCATTTAATATATATATCCTGAAAATTGCATAAAACTGGGACAGAACATTATTGTCACTTATTTTTAAAGGTAAGAAGTAACGCATTTTTTTGAGTAACGATAACGCAAAAAGTTCCTCGTTACTTTAAATTTTTTCTTAAAAAAGTATAGAAAATATATATTATATTTTAAGGCAGTTTTTATTTCAGATCAACCACCCTAATCCTCCATTTTTAATTTATTTATAATCAATCTTTTTTATAAAAAATTATATAAAAAGCTATAAAAATTAATAAAATATATTTAAAAGAATATAATATAAATATAATTAATTAAAAATAAATATTTGCGTTCCCAAATGGAGTCGTATTTTTGTCGGAATATTACAGGTTAAATTCTTGTCGGATAAAATGGTATTTCGTATCGTTGGTAAAATATCTGATTTTGAGGCTGGAGTTTTTAAAAGTTTAGGCGAAAGGGACTTTTGTGGAGATCATTATCGGGGTAAAATAATATTGTTAAAATCTTATTTTTTAATCTTTTTTGATTTTGGCTTGGGGTTAATAAATTTTAGTATGTTAGAAGATTCTGATTGCATAATCTTAGTTTCCATTTATTTTGATTTAGTTCTAAGCTGCCTTCATAGTGAAGACTGATATTTGATTAAAAGTCAATCATGTTTTTAGATTGAGACTATCGAAACTAGCAAAGCAACTATATGAAAAATTATATCATTGAGATTGTCTTTTGACGGATCGGATGTGAAGACAGCTTATGGTAATTTTAAACATGAATATCAATCACAATCAAAAAAATTAAAACTGTAAGCGTCAGAAAATATAATATTTGATAAGAGTGGCTTTAATTAAAAAAATAATAATTTCTAAAATTTACAAAAAATTAAATATTTAGTGTGAATAATTTAAATTAATTATTTGTCAATTTTTTTTATTATTATTCATATCTGATAATAAAAAATCGAATAATTTTCAATAGGCCCGAGCTAAAAAATATTTTACATAAAATATCATTATTAAAAATTTTATTTATGAAAGCTTAAACGTGCTCACACACAACTGTAAATCAAGGCAATAGGTCTAATATGTTTCTAAACTAGTTCTATTCATCAAATTTGATTGCACAATTAAATAATTATGAGTAATATAAAAACTAAAAATATTTATATAAATAAATTAGGAATCATGATTGATTAGCATATTGGGCCCAGTTGATACTTAACTCCCATAATTCTCGGGACAATTTTTCTTTTCTATCATCAGGATCAACTATTTTTGCTAGCGGAGTTTCAATAAATCTGCCATTTTTACTATATTAATAACATAATTAAATTTTTTGTTTATTAGAAAAATTTCAATAATAAATTTTTTATATGTTAGTTTTTAGCCAAATTTAATTTAATTTTTAAAGCTTTTATATAAGTTAATCAATGTTGATGAAAAAATAATATAGCGAACCAGATCATTTAATATTTCCAAGGTATATAAAATTTAAATAATTCCCGAATTACAAAATTTCTCAGATAGAGTGCAACATGTCTTCTAGGACCTTAAAACCAAAACAACAAAAATAAACTGTCAATGCCAATAATAAAGATGATAAATTAGAAATACCAAGAGGTCCAAAAAATTTCACAAAGATGCTTAGATAAATAATTAAAAAAAGGCGACGCTGTCCATGCAAGTAAAATAAATAATAATTTATAATGAAGACCTAGTGACATAGATGACGTCGTCTTCTTTTTTAGCGCTATCACCAATCTCATGTAACGAGGCATAAATGGCAGTTTGAGCGGCGTGACGAGCGTCTTTCATGAACATATATTCGAAAATTGATCGCCATGTGTATCTGGCTAGCTGAGATTTTTTGTAAGGCAAATATCGCCTTAATTCTGTGTTAACCAATCCCGGATCAACGCAATACACTTTCAGTTCTATATTAATTAATAAATGTAATACGTGAGGAATATTTTTAATATTTTATATCTGTAAAAATATGATAAATATTTTTTTGCAGGAATTTAGTCAATATCTTTAATTCAGTTGCAAATGACTCATAAAATTAGTGCTATAACTACTGGGGGAGGGGGCAATTGGTGAACTAGCCCTTCCAACTTGATTTTTTGAAAAAATTTAAAATTTGTCTTATTGGATAAAAGTTAATTGTAATTGAAAAATAAGCTAACAAATTTTTTAAATTTTTGATTTAATCACCAGGATAATATATATTAGAGCCAATGAGTGCGAGTAAATGGCTCGGCTCAATGCCACTCCGAAATGGCATGATCGAGTTTTTCGTTAAAAAACTAGTCCCATGCCTCAACGCCAAGACGACAAAAAGCCCTTTGCACCTTTTTCAAAAAAAGGGATTCACTTGGAGTTTTAAAAGAAAAAAAAGGCTCGCGCCTTGAGACTGAGCTGGAGGTGCCTAGTCAAAAGTGTTTGGAGTCTGAAGGTTCCTGGAAAGTGGCATCATTATGAAGGGGTAAAAGGGTGATCGGTGTCTAAATAAGATTGCACGTATAGAATATTTCATATATTTAAGAATAAAACGTTTTTTGCGCAAGTCAATAAATAAAGAGTTTACCTTATTATTTTTAGCAAAGCGAAAATAAGGGCTAGCGAAGCTAAAACATTTACCATAAATCAATCTGATAATCATCATTATTTAAAAAAATATACCAAAAATTGATGTGAATTTTCTGTGTTGTGATTTTATGTGCTTATGTAACTTTATTAAACTTTTCTCATTTAAATATTTAAGCTTATAAATATTTATTTTTAAATTAATGAAGATAATATATATATTGGTATCATTTTAAAATGTTACACTATAAAAAGTATTCATTACTAGATTTATAATTATGGGCTAGAGAATCACTCATCAAAACTAAGGCTAATTTGCTATCCATGTAAGCTTGCATAGCTTCGTATTTGGTATCTGCATATTCTAGCAGAGGCTGATCTATATTATCTCTTTATAAGTGATAAATATTAAAGAGTGTGTATAGAGGTCGTCACTTTTATGAGTTGGGTTAATTATATTTAAACATAGAAGATCAAAAGATTGTCTTTTTGGAAACGAAAAATCATTTTTTTATTTATTAAAAAAGAATTATATATTTATTTATTACTATTACAGAGTTGGCAAATCAGTCAATTGACCGATCAAATCAATTGACTGAACGAGTACTCTAAAATATTTATATTGACTAAATTAACTAATATGTATTTAAAGCATAATCTAATTGCGTTACAATTTATTTAAAAATATATTTGTATCATAAAGGCATCAATCTAATTTTAACTTTATATTAAAATATAAGATTTTCATTTTAAAATATAAAAATAAAAGAATTTTTATCATTAGTAATTTGACTAGATCTCAATATATAATATATTGGGTACATTTATTCAAACAAGATGGGCATCATCATTAAAACTAAGGAGCAATACAAATATGCAAGAAATCTCTGAGAGCTGCTGTTGAAGAAGTTGGATATTTGCCCAAAAGATATAGAAATATTTTGGACGAAAAATTTAAAATATTCTTTAACATTTAGCTATCTTATTGTTGCAAGTGGAAAGGGGTAAATGTACTTTGGCCCACGTAAAAAACGAGATGCTTTTTGGGAAACATAATTCAATCATGCCATGATTTTATAATTTCCACCTGAAGAAAAAGAAAAATACGTTTGAAAAGAAGACACAATACAAATACATGTGGTCACACTGCTAATTGGACCCTTAATATAAGGGGAGCATCTTAGTGTTAGTGAGTTTGATAAAGCATGTGATATAATACAAGAATTATGCATTTACTCAGTGATGATAATTAAATATTTTAAGTGATATCATAAATTTCAGAAATAAAAGTGGTGGTATATTTAATAGCCAAAATATGTGGGAAACAATAAATTTCATAAAAAACAATCATGAATATTAATAGAAGTGACTACTAACAATTCTTAGTTATACTTCTTTTTCAGAAGGAAATTGGTCAGTTTGGGGCAATATTCATACGAAGAAAAGAAATTCGAAGATCTCATGAAAATTAGTAAGAAATTATCATAACCTAAGATTTATTAAAAATTTTATTTATTATAATTCACATGACTCTGCTATGGAGAGCAAAACATTAATTATAGAATTTAAAAATTAATTTAATATTACATAGATTCATTTATTAGTATATATATAATAAAGTTAATTTGTCTTAAAAAACATTTATTTGAATTTGACCATATTTGATCAGTCAATTGACCAAATCATATTTGACTTTTGCACAACCCTGCTAATGACAATATAAAAAATAATAATGTCGCTATAATAAAATTTTGAAAGATACAATAAATTTAACAATTTGTATTTATAGAGATATAGATTAAATTTTGACAAATTCTACAAAAATGGGTAGTTCCTAAAACTGGTAATATATTAGACCTTAATATATCATTGCCCAAGTATAGTGTTGCTAAACAGCTCCTTTGAGCAAATTTTTTAAAATGACTAACTCAATATATTAACCAGAAAAATATTGCCAAAGCCTCGAGATTTCGCTGAAAAATTTTCAGGCTTGCATAATATTTTTTGGATAAAATATTGAGTTGGGTGTTTTTAAAAATGGGTTCAAACCAAGCTGTTTAACAACATTGTTAAAAGTTACAGTGTTTTATATTCATTTTTTAAAACATTTTTAGGGAGAGTATTAAGAAAATGTCTTTTATATTTTAAATATGAGATCATGATGTATATTCTAAATTATATTTTAACATTTTTATTGTTGATTGGAAGAATATATATCAGAAAAAAGTGGGTCACTGAATATATTACAAATCCTCTATCCTAAATATTTAGTCACATCTCCTACAGTTTTCCTCATAATCTAGATTCATTTTATAGATGGCTAATATCTAGTCTACCTCTGTCAGAAATATTAGAAATTTTAATTCTTGTTTAAAAATATAGAGCATACTTATTTATACATTCATTCTTTAAAATCATTTATTAAATTATTCAAACTCAAATTGATGATAAATAAGGTATCATTTTATAAATTTATTTATTTATTTATTTATTTTTTTTTTATATTAAACTGTATTTTATTTTTTGATTTTCATTAAAATTACAGAGGATTAAAAAATATATATTAAAATGGATATATTAAAAATTAAATATAAAAAAAAAGAAATATATAATATATATATGATCTATGAAGACATTAAAAAAGACTATAAAAAAAAATATATGGGTTTTAAAAAAAGGGGGGGGGGTATATATCATCCAAGAGAAGAGTGAATACTTAAAAAATTAGACCGGCAAATTTCTAGGGAAATCTGCTGGCGAAGGTAAAATCCTTCATTGGGGTCCCCTGAGATCTGTCTCATTTTTTTTCCTATAATTTTAATGAAATTGAGGGCCTCGTTTCCAAACATGCCTAGGGTATTGGTAACGATAGGAATGAACATAGTGTTGGCGAGGCAAGCGTATTTATTTTTTTTAAGGATTTCTGCCTTTTCGATAGCAGAAAATGAGAGGTTAGACTTGGCAGCAAAATCAACGCAAGTGTAATCCCATGTTAGCGGAAGACCATTAGACCAGGGTATGAGAGAAATACCATCCGGGCGTATGGCGTATTCGTTTGAAAGACCCACTGGTTCGAGGGTAGATGGGATATTAACTTTTTTGAGGGCGGCTAGTAAAATGTTATTGATAGACTTATGACGAGGTTGTCGTCCACGGGAGAACTTGCAGTGCAAGGGATGGTAAGCCTTCGATTCAATGGGCTGACCACAATCGATGCAGATGGAGGGAACTACGACATTACAGCCGAGGCGGAGAGTTATAGATATACGTAGCTGTTCGCCAGTCATGAGGAGACCAAGATTGGCGCTGGGGATGGCTTCCAACCATTCGTAGCCAGAGTTTGCATTTAGTACCAAATTATTGGGATTTTCCTCAAAGGGCCTGTTCGAAATAAGATATTCAACGGAACGGGCGATCAGAGGAGCATCCCAGTCTTTTTGGGTACTGGAAGCGGGACGGCTAAGGGTGGGAGAGCAGTTGTTGTCCCAAGAGGTCAGTATCTGAAGGAGTAGATCCATTGTCGATAATAGATTGAGCAGCAAGACGAGATGAGATAAAGGCTGAGAGGGAAAGTTGTAAGGGGGATCGGATACCAATACCACCAGACTTGCATGGAAGGGTGGCCTGGAGCCAAGATGAATTGGAGAATTTAAGGTTTAATATGTTTTCTAGGAGATCCTTAATTTGGGTTTCGTGGGAAACTAGCAAATGGCTGCATTTGAAGATCGGTGAGGATCTCAGGGCATAGAGGATTTTGGGTATATTAAAATAGTTTTTGATTAAAAAAAAGGATTGATGAGTGGGTAGGTAATTAAAAAGTGAGTTTAAATTAGATAAATTGTTGAGGGATTTGTTTAAAAAAGTTTCGATTGCTTTTTCACCCCCTATCGGTGATCCAAGATGTGTCATCTCTTCTCTGTTGATGGCGAGGAATGTGGTTTCTGAAGGGATGGATGTTGTAGGGTTTAAGAAGCAAATCTCACATTTGGGGAAGTTGAGAGATAGTCCTGTTATATAAGAGAGATTTTCGATGATGGGGGGAATGGACATGACTGTGGAGAGGTTGCCTGAGACTATACCGTCATCGAGGTACCAGGAATTTAGAGTGAGGTTAGATATAGATTGAATATCTAGGATTATCTTGTGTATCCCGATGCAAAAAGGGCTGGGCCTAAGGGGTCTCCTTGTTAAATTCCCTCCTGAGATTTTATTATGTTGTTATTGTACTTTAAAAAAGTAGGAACTGTTGAGAATGTATGTAGAATATTGAGGATATTTGTGGCAAAACAAGGGAACGAAATATTGACGTTTGATTGTATTGAAAGCATTTTTGAAATCAAGTTTTAAAACGACATTGTCAGGAATATTATTTGAGAGGGTAATGCGAGCAAGATGGGCCGAAATTTCAGATCCTCCAGGTACACCAAACCCTAGCTGAAGTGGCGACAGGAATGAAGAAAGAGATTCCTTTATTCGTGAGGCAATGATCTTAGAGATAGTCCTTCTGAAGAACGACCCAACAGCAGTTGGGCGGATACCTCCATCCTTTTTTTTGAGGGCTATAAGGCGGGCACCAAAGAGAATAGGAATGATAGGTGGTGGGAGGGGCCCATTAAGAATTAAATTTAATAACCTGGTAAGGTTCTGCAAGAGGGTTTTGCATGATATGTTAGGTTTTAAAATGTCTTGGATGAAAATAGCACGAATGCCATCAAGGCCTCCAGAAGAGTCTCTTTTGAAAGATCTGACAGCTTTGATCGTCTCATCAGAGTTGATTTCAGGGGCTATATGATCGTTTTGGCTTGAGAAGGCAAATTCTGAATCACATGAAGGGTGTTTTAGAAGCAAGGCTTCTAGAGTGGACTCATTGTTTGGAGCTAAGGAATCTTCAGAGGTCATGACCCGAAGGGCTGAATTGATATTAAAGCTGTTTATTTTGTTTGAAACTATTTTAGCCTTATGGGCAATAGGGAGTGGATTGGATTGGTGGGTCTGAGGTGTAGGGGTTGGAATAGAGTCAGGTTTGAAAAGAGATATTGAAGTTTTAATGTGTTTAGATAATTGGATATTTTTATTATCGGGAATTTTAAGGGTGGAATTAGTAAAACTTAGTAAGTTTTTCCAATTTGATAGGTTTGCAGGATTGTTTACTGTTAATAGGATTAACTTGTTAAAGGATTCTGCAAAAAAATTGCGAGCACCACGCGGAATACGGGATATGGTGGAAACATTGGGTACTGATAAAAAATCATTGGCCCATGATTGTAAGTTGGGAGTTTGCTGACTAGGGGGCAAGTTGGTAGCAACAATAGGCAGGGGATGGCTTGCTAAATTTAATAGGCTGAATGGAGGAGGATCTGTAGGTGTTATGCATGGTAACCCTGAACCTAGGCATCTAGAGGATGGGGGGCCATGAACTTGAAACTTTCTAGCTTTGGTAATTTTAGTATATTTATGGCAAGAGGGGCATAAATTATGCATTTGGATTATAGTTGCCAAACTTATAATTGTTGTATTCTTGCTTCACATAGCTATTTAGGCATGTATTATCCATTAATTTTGGAATATATGTAGGAATAGTTATCAAAATTTTGCTTGACAAATATTAGGACAAGGACCACATGAACCATTTGTTTGTATTTTTGAGATTTTTGGTGATGGATTGTTAGATTATATGGGTTTTGTTGTAGATGAGTGCAGAATAATCAATTATTTATTGTACCAGTGAGTGTTTATTTTTATTTCATTGAAAATGTTTTATAGCTCTGAAGATATTGATGTAGGTGGTGGGGGAAAATTAGAGGGTTTTAAAGTTGTAGAAGGGGTCAGAATAATTAAATATGTATAGTGCATGTAAGTGTTGTATTTTTATTTCCTTGATGTGTTGTAAATAGTTTCAATAAGAGTAAGCTTGTTATAAACTATGAAGTTATAGGTGCAGGAGGTATAGAAAAAATTAAATTTCAATCATTTATTTATTGTTTTTAAAAGGATTTCAATTGGAAATATGATAAGAACTTATTTGTATAGCTTTGATTCCATGAACAGCTGTAAGGATGGATGTATTACACATATGGAAATAAATTTTTTAAATTTTTTATAAATTTTTTATTTTACTTTATATTTTATTGAAATAAATTTAAAATAACAGGTAAATTAAGTTTAACTTTTTTTCTCAGTATAGAACTCAATTGCTAATAAAAATTATAGAATTCCACCTAAAAAATTTTAGATCTGGTATATCTCAAAATGAATAGAAAATATAGCATTTTTATGAACGTTTTCATTACAATAGTATTGTAGACAAGTTTTATATGCAGTCATTATGATGATAGACCAATATTGCTCCCTGGCTGGTCAACAATTGTCTTTTTCATTAAAAATATGTTTATATTTTAATTACATCCCTATATCCCTCAGAAAAATGTGTAGCTTTATAAAAGTAGTTTTATTCATTGGTCTGGAAAATTAATACTATATTATTAAAAAACAGTACCTATTATTTTTGTTTGTTTTATTAATGACTTGCAAATTTCTATTTCTTTCTTCCTTGATCATTTCTAAATCTAAAATTCCACCTATAAAACTTTTATCAATCACATTTATGATTTTGGAAGGTCTATTATCATTGTTATCTTGTGATAACAATTTAGGTAACAATAAATATGTGAGTAGAAAATGGCCTGTTAAAAAATATTACATTAAAATAAGTTAATTCAATTTACCTAAATAATTTACCCCAAAATGAGCTTCAAATCCATTTTGTGTAAAAGATTTGGGACAATTCATTATTCCAGCATTATTTATGAGTATGTTAATGTTTGTTTCACCTATTGATATAAAAGATAATATAGCATGTATGTAATTTTTATAATATAAACATTCAAACTTTTTGTTATATTTTGCGCAAAGGTGTTTATAGATTTAAATGAGGCTAAATTTAGATATTTACAAATAACATTTGGATTTTTTGTTTCTAAGACAATTTCTTTACGACTTTCTTCACATTTACTCATGTCCCTACATGCCATTATTATTCTGGCATCTATATAAAAAAAAACAGTTAAAAAAATAACTTAATTTAATAAAACTTTTGGAGGCCAATGTTCTGGCAATTTCTTTCCCTATTCCCTTATTTGAACCTGTGATGATAACTGTTTGATCTTTCAAATTGTCTTTACATTTGTACACTGGCCCATTTATGTAATCTCTTACATAAGGATAAATATAAATATATCTAGAAAAGCTATACTACATGTACTTAATTTTGTTGGAAATATATATTAAAAATTAAAAGTATAACCAGACCAAATATTTTTAAAAAATAATTTATAAGCTTAGGGTGAGAATTAAATATTATTCACTAGTATGAATGGGTATTTAAATTAGTAAAAAAATCACTTGAATATAAGAATACCGCCACAGACTGCGCCAACCGTGGTGATGATTGTAAATGAAGGGAGTTTGGACATCAAATACCATCGAAAAGTTATATTTATAATTTTTTTAAAGGGTAACCTTAACCTCGTCTCCAAAGGTTTATTATGGTTGATAAAACTTTCATATAAAAATTCATTAAATATTTGCGAAATTTAATATATATATATAACATAACAATGGTAATATTATGCTACTAAACCCTTGGCTTAATTCTAAATTTTTTTTAAAATCTTAGTTTAGGTAATGGCATTGTTAAAAATCCTATCTGTGTTTTTAAAAAGGGGCCAATTAATATTTTAGCCAAAATAATATTATATTATGTAAGCGTAAAGATCTGGCATATATAGATCTATATTTTTCTGCTGTATATATGAGAAATTTTTAGGCTTACATTTATTTTGGCTAAAATATTAATCGCCCTTTTTTTTTAAATTTATAAAAATCGGAGTTTTTACCAACACTAATAGGTACAAGTAAACAAGAATAGGGGGAGTTTTATGGAAATTTTACTTTATACAATTGTCGGGCTTTCATCTTGGTATTGTCTAATCTTTGGCCTTACAATAGTCCTAGTCTAACGGCAGTTATGTAGCCAATATCTAATGAGGGGGTTTACATAGACTTATTAATCAACTTTTCAAGCGAAAATCTCAATCTCAATTTGTTTAAAAAGGGTACAGAATAATTTTTTAACAAATAACATATATATATATGCATGATTATTTTTAATAGGCATAGCCAGAGGGAGGGGGGGGGGGTTGTCCCATCGAAAATCGTCTGTTATTGTAAATAATATTTTAGGCTAATGAAAATCCTTCATCCTTATTTAATCACCCCCCCCCCCTCCACCGAAATGTATAAATAAAATATTTTCTTAGATTGTTAAACGGCTCATTTAGGTTAATTTTTAAAAACGATTCCATGAAGATTTCAGCCAATAATATAATTTTGCCAAAAATCTTAATCGATCTGCTTTTAAAAATTGAACCAAATCGAACTGTATAACAACACTACTGTTAAAGTTTTCTAAAAATATTTATAAAACGGCCGAGATTTTAGGTGAATAAATCGGCTAAATCTAATTAGGCTAAGCCTAAAAATCGGCTAAACCTAAAAATTGGCTAAGCCTAAAAATGGGCTAAGTCTAAAAATTGGCTAAAATAAATTAGTCAAAAATTCTGCATCGATGTCTAGCATTAATTATTATTTATTTATTTTAGTAAAATAATTTATTTTATTTATATTTAATGTAAATAATTTATTATTACCAACAAATAATATGATATTTAATATTTTTTATTTATATTGTTTTATTTTGAAATGAAAATAAATTTATTTATTTGATGTTTTTTTTAATAAAACAAATAATATGCTGCCATTGTAAAAATGTAATATTCTTTTTAATATAATTTATTAGTGATTTTCACAATATTCTTTGTAAATACATTTTTTATTGAGGAATTATATTGTAAATTTTATTAGATAAAAAAACAATCTTTTAGGTGAAATCTTTTATAAATTTTTTTCAACAATTTTGTAAAATTATCTATTTTTTTTTAAATGATGTGTTTTTTTTAAATAATGTTTTAAAAATATTTATATTAAACTTTTTTGATGTTATTTTATATGATCTGTTTAAAGATAATATTTTAATGTGACAATTGTCATAATCGTTATTTTTAAAGTTTTTTGATTTTTTTTAACGAAAATAGATTAAAATAAGTATTGATAACATGTTTAAATAAAATTTAATGAAGATATACCGTAAAAAAGTGACAATTGTCATAATCATTATTTTTATAGTTTTTTGATTTTTTTTTGACGAAAATAGATTAAAATAAGTATTGATATCATGTTTAAATAAAAATTTAGTGAAGATGTACCGTAGAAAAGTGACAATTGTCTTAATCGTTATTTTTAAAGCTTTTTGATTTTTTTTTTGATTTACATCAAATTTTATGAAAAAATAGAAGAAAAAATGTCGAGTTAATAATTGATTATTTATCAATCAAATTATCTTTAGCTTAAAAAAAAGGAATATTTGTATTTTAATTTCTTAACCTATAAAATTAGTTATAACACTAATTTTAACCCATTTGCTTCAAAAAACTTAAAATATATGATTATGACAATTGTCTCTTATCTAGAGCACATCTTCACTAAATTTTTATTTAAACATGTTATCAATACTTATTTTAACATATTTTCGTAAATAAAATTCAAAAAACTTTAAAAATAACGATTATGACAATTGTCACTTTTCTACGGTACATCTTCATTAAATTTTATTTAAACATGTTATCAATACTTATTTTAGACTATTTACGTCAAAAAACTTTAAAATCTACGATTATGACAATTGTCACTTATCTATGATATATCTTCACTAAATTTTTATTTAAACATGTTATCAATACTTATTTTAGTCCATTTACATTAAAAAAATTCAAAAAACTTTAAAAACTACGATTATGACAATTGTCACTTATCTATGGTACATCTTAACTAAATTTTATTTAAACATGTTATCAATATTTATTTTAACATTATTTCGTCAAAAAAATTCAAAAATTGAAAATAACGATTATGACAATTGTCATTTTTCTATGGTACATCTTCACTAAATTTTATTTAAACCTGTTATCAATACTTATTTTAATCTATTTTCGTCAAAAAAAATCAAAAAACTTTAAAAATAACGATTATGACAATTGTCACATTAATATATTATCCTTAAAAAGATCATATAAAATAACATCAAAAAAGTTTAATATAAATATTTTTAAAAAAATTATTTAAAAAAATACACCTCATTTAAAAAAAATAGATAATTTTACAAAATTGATAAAAAAAAAATTATAAAAGATTTCACCTAAAAGGTTTGTTTATCTAATAAAATTTACAATATAATTCCTCAATAAAATATGTATTTACAAAGAAGATTGTGAAAATCACTAATAAATTATATTAAAATGAATATTACATTTTTACAATAGCAGCATATTATTTTTTTTATTAAGAAAACATCAAATAAATAAATTTATTTTCATTTCAAAATATAAATAAAAAATATTAAATCATATCATGTTTATTTGTTGATAATAATTAAATATTTACATTAAATATAAATGAAATAAATTGTTTTACTAAAATAAATAAATAATAATTAATGCTAGGCATAGATGCAGAATTTTTGACTAATTTATTTTAGCCAATTTTTAGGCTTAGCCGATATTTAGGCTTAGCCGATTTTTAGGTTTAGCCTTATTAGGCTTAGCCTTATTAGGCTTAGGCGTAGTTTTTAGCCGATTACGCAACACTAGTAGTTGCTAACAGAGTTGTTAAAGTAGCGCGCTACTAGCGCGCTAACTTTTTTGGTAGCTATAGCTAATAGCGGCTACTTTTTTTGTAATTATTTAATTTTTTAGCGCGCTACTTTTTTTGAAAGTAGCTAAGTAGCCGCTACTTCGCTACTTTTAAAAAATATAATGAAGGTAAGTATAAATATGAAAATTTAAATATAATATCATAATTAATTATAATTTTTATGATTTATTATTTAATTTTGAAATTAAAATATAATTTCAATTTGTAATTTATATTTTCATTTGTATTATAAACCTAAATCACGTGTTAATAATTTAAAATGTCATCGCTTATGGATATCAAAATCGTTGAAAGTGATTCAGACAATGATATTAATGAAATGGAAGATACCAGGGAAGAAAATGTTCTTAATAGCTATATTATAAATTTCCCATTCCCTAGATTTGAAAATTTTTTTAAATAAATATATAACCAAAACTGGTTTCAAATTTATTTGTTTAAAATGTAGAAAAAAATATTTGCTCAAATCAATCCAGTAGCTATAACCTCTCAAGAACGACCTAAAGGTAAATTGCATTTTTACATCCTAATAATATTTATTAAAGACTGTTCATGAGTTTTAAGGAAATGGAGAAACATCTAAATATTTTTGGTATATGCGACTCTACATTCAAAAAGACTAATTCAATTCAATCCAGATTAATTAATAATGCAAATGACAATATTTATCAGAAATTGGCTGATAAAGTTATTGTTGATTTTATAATTTATACAGTTCAGCCAATGTCCTTAGTTAATAATCCATCATTTACTATGATGATTAAGACTCTATCCTCTGGTATAACAATTTTATGCCGCAAGACACTAATGATAAAATAGCAGATAACTTTAAAATGATGAAAGATTCTCTAATAGTAGAGTTATCAGAGATAGGGAGATAGTTGAACACATAACAGAAGGTAAAAACATATTTATATTTATAAATTGATCTGATTAAATATTTTTGAGCTTATTTGGGAATCACAGGCGATTGGCTAGCACCTAGAACTTTAAAAAGAAGATCTGTGGCATTAGCTCAAAATGATAATAGGATGCAAGACATACGATGTACTTGCAAATAAAATTATTGATAATCAATCTTATATTAAAAATAATTATATAAGATTAGATACGCCCTTATCAAGTGCTAGTGTCGAGAGATTATTTAATAAGGTAAAACTTATACTTTCTGATCGTCGCTCTAGACTTGGGGATGATAATATTGAAATGATTTTATTATTAAAATGCAACAAATTACCATAAATATTTATTTTTATCATAAATTTTTTTATAATCAAAACTAACTATATTTTAATATTTATAAATGTTGATTTTTATATATTTACTATACAATAACATTATAAGCAAAAAATAAAAAATTTGTTTGTAAATTTTTTTTATAAAAAGTGGCTTAAAAAGTAGCTAAAGCTATTTTTAAAAGGTAGTAGCTAATAGCGAGCTACCTATTTTGACAAATAGCGGTAGCGCGCTATATTTTTTAGCAAATAGCAATAGCGGTAGCGCACTACTTTTAAAAGTAGCGTTTAACAACTCTGGTTGTTAATTGGTTGGTTGTGTATAACCCACACCCGGTGCAACATGCTTGAATCACTCATGTATTTAAATCACTCTTTATGGCCTATTTTAATGAGTAAATTTAATGAGTAAATTTAATGAGTAAATTTAATATTTATTCTTCTATTATAATGTATTTACATATCTGAGTAAGTTTTTAACAGTGTATTTGCAATAATGATATA